ATTAGCTAATAAAAAATACTCAATAAAATATTCATAATATCTATTAAAAGTTCATTATATCAATGAATTTAAAGTCAGTAAATGTCATTCATTGATATTATGAATAACATTTTTTTCAGTGTAACAAGTTTCCTGCATGTTGCTATAAACTTGATACAAATTACATCGCCTGAATTGCCATCTTTTTTTAGGAAAGCGGCTTTCGATTTTGCTTATGATATTGGCGGCAATATATACCATAAACGCTTATGCGCAACCGAAGGGAAACAATTTTCTTCTCCTCTTTTACAAGTTTTATAGGTTAAGACAATCACACAGCAACATAATAGAAATTAATTCTACATAAAACAAATTTGCTAACAATTTGACAGCAATATGAAAGAAACTATTACAGTAAAAAGGGTTAACTTCTAATAATACTTCCCAATGACCAAAATTATAAAATCGACTCACAAGAGAACTTTAAGATATTAAATTTTAAAAGATTAAAAAAAATCCTCTTAAAAAACCCTTTTTACTGCAACAGTTTCTTTCATATTGCTGTCAAATTGCTAGCAAATTGTTTTTCTCCGGTTGCGCATAATTGTTTATGGTATATATATTGTTACCAATATCATAAGCAAAATCGGAAGCCGCTTTCCTCAAAAAAGATAGCAACTCAGGCGAAGTAATTTGTATCAAATTTATAGCAACATGCGGGAAACTTGCTATCTGGGGTGTCAAATATAACCATTGTTTTAGTATAAAATAACGATATGATTGAATAGGAGCAGTGGCTACTCACATTAAGTTAAATTTAATACTACAGATTTAAAAGTATTGGTTTAATTATATAAAATTTCTTTATGCAAACATGTGTTATGTTGGTTTAACGCTATACAATCTTATTTCAAACAGTGGCAACTTACATTAAGTTAAATTTGACACTATAGATTTAACAGTGAAGAAAAATATATTCTCTTTATTCAATAATAATTTTTGAGAGAAAGAAAAATATTACATAAAAAAAATGATCGTCAAATCGAGAATCAAAATTTCTCTATTAAAATATTAAAACATAAATTACAAACAATTTTTTAACACTCGTATAACTTTCAAACAAATTAATAAATAGTAACCCAGGTCAATAATTAAACAAGCTATAATTAGATGTGACAATGCAAAATTTATTATTTCACAATATAATTTGCCACCGATACGTTTCGACTATACTTATTGTTAGTCCTCATCAATCGCAGAAATATAATTACTCCATATAATAAAAATTAAGTTAACATATTTGAAGGATAATCTCAACTTCGATTTTCAATAGTCAGTATTAACGCAACCATATTATATTTAGTCAATTTGTCGAACAATAAAACATAGTAATAATGAGCCATAATCCAACCAATTCGTCGGTTAACAACGAGAAAGGGCACAGTCAGAGTGAGTAAAAGAAAATTTCCAGTAAAATTACAGATGTAGATTGATGTCAAATTATATAAAATGGTTGTACGTGCGTCCTTAATCTATTGGTAGATAACTAAATAAAATAATAAATAATATGGTCAAATTAAAGATATAAAATCGTTGCAGATCAAAAATTAAACAAGTCTTAATAATTAAAATTATAATAACAAATAAAAACAATGAAATTTATAAAACAATGTAATTAAAAAGGCATATAACAACGAACGCCTGATATCGATAGCTTAAAATTAATATATTTAATATAATACAATAAATAGACGTTTCGGTCTTGAATCAGACCTTCCTCAGTATGAAAATAATTAAACGTGATACGCATATATTACAACATAATTTAAGTCTTAAGAATAGAGTCTTACAATTATAAGTATTTTGAGATATTACAAATATCCGTTAATACATTACTCGCAGATGTTATTTTCTCAATTCATTGATAGTGTGCTTTTTTTCCACCCATTTAAACGCAACTGTTCCATACGAGTCTGATTGTCTGACAGATCTTGATACTTATACGAGCAAATTTTCTCAATGTAAGTCCACACAAAAGTTCCAATTTCTATTAGATAATGTATACAATTGTAATTCAATTAATAACATGCCACATGTAATAAACTAAATAGTTATCTTATACAATATTGCAATTACTCAATCGGATTCAATTTAATAAATTATAATTAAATAGTCTAGTTTAACAAAGTCTCAAAGATTAAGAAAAAACACAAATAGTTATCTTATAACAATAATCGAGATACATAGTCGGATTCAATTTAATACATTATAATTAAATAGTCGAGTTTAACAAATTCAAAGATTAAAAAAAAACACCAAATAGTTATCTTATAACAATAATCGGGATACTTAGTCGGATTCGATTTAATACATTGTAATTAAAAAGTATAGTTTAACAACAGTCAAAAGATTAAAATGATCTTAATAGTTCTTAATAGAACATTTATTTATAGAATACCTGTGTCAAAGATGAGATGAACTGCAATCAAGAACGTGGAAAAGTGCGATAATAATCAATGTTAAAAACGTTATATTCGTTAGAATGAATTCTAACAAATATAACGTTAAGTTCTTCGAACGTCAATTTTATTATACGTTAATACTTTGCGTTAATTTTACTATGCGTTAATTTATTCTATTTTACAGAGTCTATGATATGGCATATTCAAACGCTAATTTTATTATGCGTTGATTTTATCGTATGGGGTTTTTCATTGTACTAAGTTATAATTTTTATTCATGAGTATTAAGTGAAATCAAAACGTTCCGTAAAATTTATAGATTTAAACAAAATAAATATTATCACATTGTACACCTAATATAGCTCGTTTTAATTTGTAACCTGGGTTGGATACGTTAATCATAATTAGTAATAATTTTTTCTGCGTTCAATTTACTGAATATTTTAAAACAGCAAAAAATTTTCATAGAATATTGAAATGAAATGTTCAGAATGATATATGAACCCTCTTATTGTTATATTTACATACATATATACATACATATATACATGTATACAGGGTAATTCAGTTTAATTGAACCAGGCAAATATCTCGACAAACATGGAAGATACGGAAAAATGTTTCAGACAAAAGTTATATGGTTTAGAGAGGGACATAAGATGATACCGTTGGTTTGACTTTGAATAGTTTGAAAGTCACGTAAAAGTCACCTTCAATTTCTTAAATGGAACTCCTTATTTTTCATTGCATATTCTTGTAACTGACCTCGAGAGCTTTTCAAAATACTGTAATAAAATATTTTTTTTAATGCTCTTCATATCATGAGGATTGAAAGTTACAGTACTCCCGACATTGGCATTACTCAAGGTGGTCGACCGAGAGCTAAAAACCTTTTGAATGTTGTTTAGGATCATAACCTAGAACATTTGTTAAGGTCGAGGCCATTAGAGGTTGTTCCTCTTATTTCCATTTTTGCTCTACAAATTCATTTTTACGTAAAAACGAAAATAAGAGATACTAAACAACATTCAAGAGATTTTTAACCATCGGTCGGACCACCTTGGGTAATAGCTATACATATAATAAAGGTATTGTAACTTTCGGGCCCTGTAACTCGAGAAGTATTTAATGAAAAAATATTTTATTATAGTATTTTGAAAAGCTTTCGAGATTTTGGTAAGCTACAAGAATATGCAATAAAAAATGGGAGTTTCCATTTAAAAAATTGAAGATAACCTTCACGTGACTTTCAAACGATTATCCAAGGTCAAACCAATAGTATCTTATGTTCCCTTCTGAACCATACAATTTTTGTCTGAAACATTTTTACATATCTTCCATGTTTGTCGAGATATTTACCTGGTTCAATTTAAATGACTCACATTATATACAAGTATATATATATATATATATACATATACCATGTATATATCACTAAAATCACTCACCGCTTCAATAAAAAGCGCAGCATTTTACCTGTGAAGTGAATCAAAATTGGGCTCTAAGGTGAAAATAACAAAAATTTGTTTTTAATAGTATACTTTCGTTTAAAAATGAATTCAGGGACCTCTGGACTTGGAATTTTTAGAAAAATTATGATTTTACAAAATAAATATGGAACAATCTCCGAATATGTAAAAATGTAAATTAAATTTTTAACGATTATTTAAATGTTGCCCTTACACATTCCGTAAATATTTTGGAATATTTCGAATACTTTTAGAAAGTTATTTTGGGATTTTAGGAACTTTTTATGAACTTTTTACGAATATTTATTAGGTTAGCATTAGCTGAGATAATATATACAGGATGAATTAAAAGTATTGGACCAGTAAAATGTCTTCAATACAAACGATTTGAAAAAAAATCTTTCATAAAAGAATTGTAGGATTTCAACAAATACATCAAATGATAATGCTCTTATTTGCGAGCACTGACGAGCTCGCAAAGCTACCTTTAAAATTTTTAATGAAAACTACTACTTTTATTTAATACTCTTGTAACTCTAACGATACAATAAAACGATACAATAAAACATCTTTTGGTTAAGTATTTTTGAAGATATTTGATCAGTCCAATACTTTTATTTAGCCATTTGTATACCCGTTTATACATAACATAGTGTCGGAAATAATATTCTTATAAGTAATATTTGTAATATAAAAAAGACATTTCGTTGCAATAATAAATATAACATTAAGGCAATAAAAAATGATTTACAAGGCGAGAAAATTACATAAGGTGTACTTACTAAAATTTATTATTTTTATGTACTAACTACCTCGGTAACTTTGTGTATAAAATATTATTAACAAAATATTATTATCTAACTGGCAGTTAATAAGTTTTTATTAATTTAATCTTCTATGATGTTTTTAATTAGTCCGGCAGAAATCTTAAAAATAGCTTACTACATAATATAGAAGAAAATGATCATTACAACATCGAACGCAACAATGATGACGACGATCACAAAACTTGCCCTCGTTGCAACAATTATGATAATGATAATGATGACGATGACGACATTACCACTACCGACATTTCCACTACTGACAGTGACGACATCGACGACATCGACGACATTGTCGACATTGATGACATTGACGATATGGACAACTACAAAAACCATGATTTTTTGGTAAATTAAACTACCTTTATTAATTTATATATGATAAACCTAAGTATTATGTTACGTTTTTTGTGTATTCTTATTGAAGGTATTCTTATTTCAACCTAAGTAATAATATATTTTTAAATCTCTTTTAAAAATTATTACAGATAAAATTTATTCAACTCAAGTAGGTGTACAACTTTGCTTCCGCCGTTTTTTTCCGAAATTCGAGGCTTTATTGTAAAAAACTGGTTATACATCAAAGTATTGTTTATGATTCAAAGTATTGTCCATCGCTGGCCAGTACTTTCTCCCATCTTTCGGGCAGCGTACGAATCCCGCGTCGAAAAAACTGGTCATTTTTTGAGGCGATCCACGAATCGAACCAATTTTTTACTTCTTCATAAGACCGGAAGTGCTGGTCAG